CGAGACAATAGAAAAAACGTATAGCATCACAATCTTGCTAGAAATAAGAATTTTAAATAGTCTTCTGTTGAAGCCTTAAAAGGAATAATTAAAAGTGATTGAATTCTAAAAGATGATGTTTGTTACACAGTGACAAAGAGCTTTACTGTATTTTGTTATAGTGTTTATGGATAGTAGAACTTTTTAACCATGAATTTGGGCATCTCGCTCAAGTATTGGTAAGCAATATTCGAAAGGTATGGCCTGGTTTTTCTGCACTGCTTACTGTAATATGTAAGAGATAAACTGAGGAATAAACTAGGCAAAAATGAATCAAAACTAGAATTTTTTTAAAAAATTCTCAATCCATATGGTAAAAATTGACAAAAATGAATTCCAGAAAGAAAAATAAGGGTGTGGTTGGACGACTTATTGATAAAATGACTAAATATGTGACATATGGATCCAATCAAGCATTTCAATAACACTACTCCCAGCAAAACTGTTACCAGTTTAGAATGAAAGGGACAGAGATGGAACAAAATGAAAGAAAGAAATCTGACTTTAAGAATATTACTATCAGAAGATGGCATTTGAGACCCAAATGGCACAAGATTCAGTGTCACAGCAAACCCAGATTACCTCATCACAGCAAGTTAACCAGAGTGCTATATGACTTAGAAGAATGTTTCTCCAAAATATAGTAATAAAGGATTAAAATATAATCCCTCAGGCCCAACTTTTAAATAAAAGGTCCCTCCAGGAGGTCTTGTTGAGAGGCTTAAATAAAAACAGCTAAACAAACCATGCAGATCCTCAATCAAAACAAGAGCACCATCTTACAGAGTCCAGCTACTTAACCCAACTCCAAAGTGGAGACAAAGGTTTTGGCGTTATATATTGTTATTAAGTCTCATCCTAAAGTCATAGCAACGAACGTTATACAAGTGTGTTCAGGTCTTTCATTGATAGGATTGCTATGAGTCATCTAAGACTCGACTGCACTTAACAATTTCATATAGTTTCCACTCACATGTTTAGGAAGTGGATGCCACTTCTGCTTCCAAGCCTGTCTTAATCAGTGAGCTCTACCAAACATTATCAACCATATATAACCATTAAGGCATCGTGGCACATTTTAAAGACAATTAAGACATTCCAAAGACAACTGTGCCATTGGTTTGCCAGACACCATCCTGGTGGAGCTCCCAGATTGAGTCAAGTTTGGAAACAGGAGTGACATCCACTTCCTAAACCATATAGATAGGCCTTTTGTACACACACACACACACACACACACACACACAAATATATATATCCCTTATATTTAAAAAGTCAGTTGGGCCTAAGGGTCAAGTCTAGGGTTATTTTATTTTGAAGGAACATTCTTCTAAGTTATACAGCACTCCTCTGTCAATTTGCTGCACTAGGGTAACCTGGGTTTGCTGTGATTCTGAACATTGTGCCACTGGGAAATCATAATGGCTGCCCATGGTAGACAGTATTTGGTGGAGCTCCCAGTTTAAGACAGGTTTGGAAGCAGGAGTGGCATCCACTTCCTAAACCACATGCCTCTGGAAACTCTATGAACTTGGAGAAACAACAATGATTACAGGAAGACTTTAGGCTTTTTGTTCATAGGGTCACTATGAGTTGTGCTCGACCCAATGACAATAAATCAGAACAACTATCAGAAAATGGACAAAGTCAGTTGTTCTTGAATAAAAGGATAATATGGTCTCACAGGCAGTTTTGAGCCCAGTAGGGCTACAGGCATAGATCTGAAGTAGGGGCTGCTGTTTCTTCACTTCCAGAGGTGAACTCAACTCCTGGGTTTGCTTTCAGGGAATGAGGCCATTGTCCCTTGAACCAAGAGAATGAAGAGTAGTGTTGCCATTCCGTGGCAAAATACAGAATAATATTTTTGGCTAATATTGACAACTAATGGAAATTGTACTTCCGGGTTTCAAAAAAGGCTTGAGATCTGTAATGTAATCTCTTTCCTCCATTTCATTTCTCCCTTTCAAAATGGAAATATCTATCCTATACTTGTTATATTTTTAATGATCTTCACCAGTGTTTTGCTTGCATGTGATAATAATGATATTGTTTGATAATTTCCATATTCTATTTGACCACCTTTCTTGAGAATGGGAACAAATATGGATCTCTTCCAGTCAGTTGACCAGGTAACTGTTCTCTAAATTTGCAAACATTAATTGATGAACATTCTAGGGTCGCATCTGTTAATTTAAAGATGCCAATTGCTATCCCCTTGATTCCTGGAACCTTACTCTTTATCAATGCCTTCAGTGCAACCTGAGCTTATTTCTTCATTAACATCGTGTTTATGTGAACAAGAGGCTATTGTGTGTATGGAGCAAGGTTATAATATATGGCTTAAAAATAAGGAAGTTGTGCATGAGGATTGTATCCTCTCTCCATATCTATTCGATCTGTATGCTAAGTAAATTATTCAAGAAATTGGACTCTGTGAAGAATGTAGTATCAGGATTCGGGAAGACTCTTCAATAACTTATGTTATATAAGTGAAACAACTTTGCTTGCTGAAAGTTAAGAAGATATGATGTGCTTGCTGTAGATTATCAAAGAATACAGCCTTCAATAAGGATTGCCTCTCAATTTCAAGAAAACAAAAATTCTTGCCACTGGACCAATAAGTAATGCCATGATGGAGAAAAAATTGAAGCTGTAAATGCCTTCAACTTACATGGATTTATAATCAACGCCCTTGGTATCAGCAGTCAGGAGATGAAGAGACAAATTTATTAGACTGGGAAGGTCTGCAGTCGGGGATCTCCCCAAATTATTGAGGAGTAAATATGTCAGTTTGAAGACTAAGGTTTACCTTAAGTATGTCATGATCTTATCAATCACTTGCTATGCTTTGAGAGCTGGACAATGAACAAAGATGACAGAAAAAAATTATGCTTTTGAATTGTGGTATTGAGGAAGAATATCCCATTGACTGCTAAAAGAACAAACACAACTTGGAGAAGGTGCAGTCAGAGTGTTCCTTAGAAGTAATGGTCACATTACCTCTCAAAGCTTCATCTCACATACTTTGGGCATGTTTTTAGGAGAGGCTAATTATTGGAAAGGGACATCATGCTTGGATAAGTGGAGGGTCAGTGAAATGGAGGAAAATTCTCACCCAGATGGACTGACATAATAAATACCAGAGATTATAAAAATGGTACAGCATAGGAAAGGGTTTAGATCTGTTATTCATAGGGTTGCTATGGATTGTATTTGATTAGACGGCACCTAACAATTACAACAACAATGACATGGACTCACCAAGTTGTGCCAAGAAATCTGGAGGACAACCACTTGGCCAACTGACTGGAAGAGATCAATATTTGTTCCCATTCCAAGGAAAGGTGACCCAACAGAGTGTGGAAATTATCCAACAATATCATTGATATCACGTGCAAGCAAGATTCTGCTGAAGATTATCCAAAACCAACTGGAACAGCACATCAACAGAGAACTGGCAGAAGTCCAGGCTGGGTTTAGAAGGGGTCATGGTATTAGGGATGTTGTAACTAATGTTAGATGGATCTTAGCTGAAAGGGAATACCAGAGGAATGTCTGTGTTTCATTGAGTATGCAAAGGCATTTGACTGTGTGGGTCATAAACTGTGGTTGACTCTGAGAAGAATGGGAATCCCAGAACACTCGATCATGCTAATACGAAAACTATACTTGGACCAGGAGACAGTCATCAGAACAGAGCAAGGAAACACTGCATGGTTCAAAATTGGGAAAGGTGTACGCCAAGGATGTGTACTATCCCCATACTTTTTCAATTTATATGCAGAACAGATTATCTGGGAGGCTGGGCTGTATTAGGAGAAGTGTGGCATCAGGATTGGTGGAAGATTCATCATCAACAAACTGTATTATGCAGATGACATAACCCTCCTTGTTGAAATTGAAGATGACATAAAGCGCTTGCTGCAGAAGGTCAAGGACTTCAGCCTTGGATTGAGGCTCAATATCAAGGCAACAAAGATTCTCGTCACTGGTACAATTGGCATAATCAGGATAGATGGGGAAGAGATTAGGATTGTTCACAGCTTTAGTTTGCTTGGCTCCACAGTCAACACTCTTGGCACCAACAGCCAGGAAATTAAAAGACATATTGCAACAGGAAAGTCTGCTGTTAGGAACCTCTCTAAAGTACTCAATAGCAATGGTGTGTCTCTGGAGAGTAAGGTGCATCTGATATAGGCCATAGTCTTTGCAATCACTTGCTATGCATCAGAGAGCTGGAACATGACTAGGGAGGATAGAAGGAGAATTGATGCCTTTAAGCTGTGGTGCTGGAGAAGAGTATTGAATACACCATGGACTGCTAAGAAAACAAACAGGTTCGTCCTGGAGAGGGTTAAACCGGGCTGCTCCTTGGAGGCAAAGATTCTGAAGCTTTGTCTGACATACTTTGGACATGTTACAAAGAGGGACAAGTCCTTGGAGAAGAACGTCATGCTTGGGAGCATGGAGGGATAGCGCAGGAGAGGAAGACCCCTTATGAAGTAGATTGATTCAGTGACTGGAGTAATGGGGGTGGGTTTGTTGAAGACAGACTAGCACAGGACAGGGCAGGGTTTAGGGCTGTTGTAAACAGGGTGGCTATGAGTTGCAGGTGACTTGACGGCACATAACAACAACAACCAAAACAACGTGGTGTCCTAGGCTTAATAGGTCTATATAAGGGATATACGGGAGACCATGAAATGGAGCATTTTTTTTATTACCAAGGACTTTATTATATGTGACTATCAGTGTATAGAAAATAACTACTACCCTCCTGAAATATAAACTCATGAAAATTTGGAGAGGTAAATGTTAAGAACTGACAAAAGCAGAAATCTGTATAGTATGGCACATGTGTTGTAGGGATAAGCTTTTGTACAGGCTTCATATTTAGATCTCCTTTGAATATTCACTGTTTCTTAAGAGCGGTTTAGGAAATCTTTGAAAGATTCATTTTACTACAAGAACGAACAGACTTTTTGGAGTCTACCGGGATTTGTACTTGAAGATATTCCAGTCAGCAAAGGGTCATGCCGAGCATTCTGCAGACAGAATTGTTTCAAATCTGCGGCTGCCTGGGAAAACTTCATGCGGTTGAGCCCAGCTTCCAACTGAAGCTGCTGAACCACTTTCTTCATCGCGACAACACCAGAGGAGCCAGACGTGGCGTGATAAAGAGTGAGGCCGATTCTCCTCTCAGGAGCATGATTTTTTAAGTAAACTAAACTTCCTTAATTTTGATAGTGTGACGACAGAGTTACTGCTAAAAATATAGTTGATAAACAAGGCTTCCTCTTCCCCATTGATGTTTAACCCCTAAGAATCCACCTTATTCTAACATCTGTGTTAGATAGAAGAATACCTGGGAGACCAGAGGGAACTTTAGGAGAGTAATAGGTTAGAAGCACCTAGTAATAGAATATTCTATTATAGAGCTAGAATAGTATCTAGTAATAGATTGGTAGCTGCTGTCTTGGAAAAATGAATTCCAGAAGAGCCCCGATTTCCTCCCTCTTGATAGCAAGTATTAGGATATAAGATTATCACTAGCAAAACAAGCAACCATTTTTCAAGAGTTATGAAAGATTCACTAGAGATGAAATAGGACAGGCTAACACTAAAATAATGGTGTTTGTTGTTTGGGTGTGTTGTTTTTTTCTCTGTGTGTGTGTGTGTGTGTGCGCGCCATTGTGTCAGAACTACCCATAGCTAACCCTACAGTGGTTTTTCAGGGGCAGTTTAATCACAAGAGAGGTTGCCCATTTTTCTCCTGCAGAGCAGCTGGTGTATTTGAAGAGCAAGCCTTCTGGATTGCAGCACAATTTCTAACTACTAAGTCACCAGAGCTCCCGAATTATTGCTTTATATGCCTATACAATAATAAGGTGCGACTGATACAGGCCATGGCCTTTGCAATCACTTGTTATGTTTCAGACAGTGGGACAATAACTAGGGAGGATAGAAGGAGAATTGATGCCTTTGAGCTGTGGTGCTGGAGAAGAGTATTGAATGTACCATGGACTGCCAAGAAAAAAACAGGTTCATCCTAGAGAGGGTTAAACTGGGCTGCTCCTTGGAGACAAGGATTCTGGGGCTTCATCTTACATACTTTGGACATGTTTCAAGGAGGAACAAGTCCTTGGAGAGGGACATCATGCTTGGGAGGGTGGAGGGACAGCGCAGGAGTGGAAGACCCTCTCTATGAGGTGGATTGAGTCAGTGACTGGGATAGTCAGGGTGAGTGTATCAGAGGCAGTGAGATTGGCACAAGACAGAGCAGGGTTTAGGGCTGTTGTATATAGGGTAATTATGAGTTGCAGATAGCAACAGTAGTTTCTATTATTGTTGTTGTTATGTGCCATTAAATCTCTTGCTACTCTTAGCGACCCTGTGTACAACAGCTCTGAATTTTGCTCTATCCTGAGCCAACTTTATTGTCTCTTATACACATATATGATAGATGTATAAGATAGACTCCTGATAGACTTCTTAATAGATGAGTCAATCTATCTCACTGAGGGTCTTACTGTCTTGCGCTGTTCCTCCTTTCTTCCAAGTATGATGTCCCTTTCCAAGGATTGGTCCCTCTTTGCAACATGTCCAAAGCATGTCAGAATCTTTGCCTCCAAGGAGCAGTCTGGTTTCGCCCTCTCCAGTAGGAACCTGTTCCTTCTCCTGGCAATCCATGGTATATTCAATGCTCTTCTCTAGGACCACACTTCAAAGGCATTAATTCTCCTTATATTATCAGGTTAGATTTTTTAAAAAAATATTGTTGCTGCTTGTTTGTTCTAGTTTTCACTTTACCATTATTCTACACATCTGTATTCATGTCTCAGAGAAGCGGTTGTTAAGGGAAAGAAAGAACAGGGAAGAGGAGACTTCCACACTTTTATTTTTAAAACCATAAGAAACTGCTAAGAGAAGGAACACTTTCCAGTCATAGAAATCCCTTTTAGATCATGCATCCTGAGAGAAAGAAGGATCCCATTCTTAAGAATGCATTTGTTCCTTCCATTTAGAGAGTCGTAGAGGACGCTTAGGGCATGAGAAGAAAGAAACTGGTAGATCTTGGTGGCTGTAATCCTCACCACATTGTAGTCATGTGCACAATGGTAACCACAAAGTGAGCACATGAATGTTGTTGTTATGTGCCATCGAGTCACCTGTGACTCATTGGTCCCAAGATAAGGAACTATGAGAAGTTGATGTGTTTGGAATCACAGTACCCGAGGAAGCTTCATATATAAGCTATTAGATCAAGGGCTGGTCAATGGGAGATAGATGTGAAGGGAGTGGGTAGAAGTGGATGGGTATCCTGGTGGATGGTGAAGCAGGGAAATAAGTGGGTAAAGACACCTGTGTAAAAGGTAGGACAACACTAACACTAATTTTTAACTCCACAATAAGGGATATACCTTTAACTTGCTGGTCTGTCTGATACTTCTCTAAATCTGAACATTCACATTAAGACAGACTAGGAATAAGGATTGGCCATCCACTTCTGAAATAGCAGGCCTCTGAAAACCCTATGTACAACAGACAAGAGCACATGAATTGGGATAGTTAATTTCTTCTTTCTGAGCCAAGAAAGCCTAGGCTGTTACACTTGCAAACTGTATGCATACATATAAAAGCATAGGTAGCTTCATAGAATTTCTATTTGTTAAAGCAATTGACTTGCTTGACATTTCTTGAAGAGTGTCTGGAAGGTTTGAACTGTCAAGTTTTAAGTTAGCAACATCGCAACTAACACACTGCACCTCAGCTCTGTAAAATCACACCCCTTTACAACTTTGGAAACACGCTGAAGGGTCTCCATGCATCAAATTCATTGAAGGTGGCAGTGGATTTGTTTGCTTGATTTTAGTTTACATATAGGAGAAGTGTCTCTGGGTGGTGAAAATGGTTGAGATCTAGTAGCCAAAAAATTGGCTCTTGATACACACCCAGAAGAGCCTTGGAAGAGTAGCCAAGTTATCTGCTCCTGAAATGTCTCAATCTTGGAAAGTGTGGAGAAGTTCTACTCTATAGATATGGGGTTGCCCCTCAGCTAACAATAACATCTATATACACTTGAGGGAAAGGAGCCTTCAAGACCCGCCTTTAAGGAACTAAAGCACAGAGTTACCAAAACTCCTAGGATTATAGCATTTTGTTGTCATAATTATTATTGTAATAATTTCTTACTGATGAGAGCCAGAATAAAAAAGAATATAGAAGTTAACTTTGCCAAGGAGTCCTTGGATAAATCAAATTGTTAAACACTTAATTACTAGGCAAAAGATCTGTAGGTTTAACCCACAAAAGTTTAGTTATCTGCTTCCAGAAAAAAATATAGGGTTAATGAAATTTAAAAACACCGGCTTAAATATATACCATTGTGTTAAAAAGATTTGCTCTTAGAGAACTATACAAAAATAATTCTGTGATCCATAATCTTTCTGCTTTCTTACATATCTCAAAGCAATTTGTCTCACTATTGCTAAAGTTAAAGCAAAATTTGCATCAATGGAAAGTAGAAATCAGCCTCCTTTTCATTTGTTTCCTTTGATGATGGGTTTCTGAAGGGAGGGTAAGAAACTGCTTACTATCTTATTTTCCAGAAACCTTTTCCTCTGAGTAAAACAAACTCAAAGGGACGTCAAACAGCAACTTTGACTGAGACTCTGACTTAAATAACTATATTATACTTTTGACATCTAACACCGAATTCCACTAGTCCTCACACCATTCTCTATTTAAAAAGACAACATCTGACTGTTTTTTGGAGTGACAGCAAATTCCATTTGGACACCTGCTTGCCAGATGTCTGTAGCAACACATGCACCCTACTATTTCGCCTGCAATATTTACCACATACTACTTTCCCTCTTTGGCTGCAGTGGAAACAGAGCCTGCAGAAAGCACTACAGCTCTTCACCATATTTTTTCACATTGCTCTTTTATCTTGTCTTATTCATATGTTTTCACTTTTCCTTCCAACTCTATTTTTACTTAACAGCACTTACTCAAAGACTTATTCAAAATCCACAAGTAATTTCTTTCTTTCTTTAAAAAAATACTGATAAGTGGGAATTAATTTAGGCATTAAATTAAAAAAAAGTAAACATTGACAAATTGAGGTGTATTACATTTGTTTTCCTGCTGTTGTTTTTGTTGTTAACTGTCGTCAAGTCGTAGGCTACTCATAGAAACCTTATGAATGAAAGACCTGAACACTGTATAACTTTCATCATTTGTCCAGGTTTGTAAGGTTTCTAAAGGCAAGCTATTTCGGAAGTGGGTACCAATCCTGCTTCCAAGCTTGTTTTAACCGGGGAGTTTCACTAAGCACTGTCCACCATGGGTGACCATTATGCATTTGACACATTAGTGTCACAGTGTTCAGCATGACAGCAATCATGAGTTAACTCTGTACACCAAGTGGACAGAGCAGGGCTATACAATCCTGAAGAACTCCAAGTCTAGCAGCCAAGGGCTAGGTGGATTTCAGAAGGGGAAAATTAATATTTTGCTGCTACCAACAGGCGGGAAAACCAGAACACAGCAATCCTTAACAATTTGGTCTCAACTTGTCTTGACTATTCCACATATCTTGCTTAACTCCATTTCAGGGAAGATGTCTATGCAAATCTATTGTGGATTTTTTTAACAGTGGATTATTTTAAAATGTGTTATGAAACACAAACTATGTTTAATTGATACTGCTAGATAATTCTCTTACAAGTATTTGCCTTTGCAGTTGAGGTAGCTCCACCTCATAGCAAACCTATGATAGCAGAACAGAACATTGCTTCACCCTGTGCCACACTTACATTCCCTGCTAAGCTCATTATGGTAGTTTCTGTGTCAATTCATGTGGATGATATCTTTCTCTTTCTCCTGACTTTACCAAACATACTGTTCTTCTCTAGGCCCCAGTATGAAGACTAAATTTCACCCTCCTCTCATTCAGGGAGCATTCTGGTTATACTATCTTTGAAAAAAGATTTCTTTCTGTTTGTAGCTTAAATTACTGTAAATTCAGTCTTGGTGAGTTGGTACCTCTCACAGCAATGCCCCATTATATATCCAGGGCTGTAGATCCTAACAGAAATAGATTTCCCATCTTCCCTCTCTCAGAGTCACTGGTGGTTTGAGCCACAGTAGATGTTAGACTTTTAGATTAGCAGTACAAATGGATACAGGCTATATCACTAGAATTTCCTCTTCATCTTTAATGGCTCA